GGATTGGTGTGGGAGTGGTGATACTGATGATTCACAGCTCGAGAAAAAAAATACTGGCCAGCCTACAACCAACACAAATTTGAAAGGACCTTGTTATCCACGGCTATCCAGGCACAGAATTTCCTAATGGTTGGGGAACAATGCCTTCTTCACATGGTGTCTTTACAACTTAAGCGGTGTAAATATTGCTGTAAGTTGCCAGCACTTGGGCAGCTCCCATCATTGAAAGAGCTTCGAATCAGTAGATTTTGACGGAATTGTCAGCATTGGCTGTGAGTTTTTTGGCAGTGAAACTCGTTATTCTGCTGTAACTAAAAGCTTCCCTGCACTTGAAATTCTAAAATTTGAGCACATGTCAGCATGGGAGAAATGGAGTCCTGAAGCCAACACTGGCTGCAAGCCTTCAGTCAACTTCGAGAACTTCATGTAGAGAGGTTGTGCCAAGCTGACAGGGGATTTACCTAGTAACCTTCCATCATTTTTGAAGCTACTCAAAATCACAGACTGCAATCAGCTCCTTTGTTCACTTCCCACTGCTCCTGATTTGCGGGTATTGAACATTCAGAATTGTGGGAATTTAGAATTCCCAGTTCATGGTCCTCAGTGCTACCAGTTACTCACAATCCATGTACTTACTTGATAGCTTTGATTCACTCAAGTTCTTGCCATTAGATCTCTTCAACAACCTCACATATCTCTTAGATATCTGGGCTGTAAGAATCTGGAAGCTCTAACAGTTCCTGAATCAGATGCTCCCTCTCCAAATCTCCCATCACTCAGATCCTTAAGCATAAGACATTGTCCTAAATTTGCATCTTTTAGCAAGGGAGGATTATCAGCCCCAAACTCACTTTGTTGACAGTCAACTACTGCGAGAGGTTGAAGTCTCTACCTGAGCAAATGCACAATCTGATGCCGATTTGAAGGAGTCCAGCTTCGAGGTTGTCCACAAATGGAGTCATCTGAGATGAGACCCCTCAGGATTCGGATTTGCGATAAATTGAGAGAGGAGAAACAGAACCTATCTGATCCTATATTTGCTAGGTTTGAGGGACTTTCCTCTATTTGTAGCCCCTCATCAAGGTAGACAACTTGTAAGAGTCAAAGCTTTCCCTGGTAAGCAATATAGCTAACATATATGAACTTATAATTGGCATGTAATGTTTTGATTATGTGCTGTCATTGCTCCCCTGCTGCTATGTAAGTCGTATTTGTCATTTAATTGCTTTTGAATTTATAGGCTTTCTGTGATATGATGGTACTCTTCCACTCCTTAATATAAAACTTATTTAACTCATTTGATTAGATTACGGAAGTTAGGTAAGTTAGTTAACTATAATATGACATGTTTTCCTAAAATACCTTAATCATCTTCATTATATCCTCCCTCCCTCTCATACTTAATTATGATTGAGGGAGCATCAATATGGGTGATTTGGAAAAAAATTGATAGATATAAGAAATAGGTCTATTTAAGACTAAAATTAACTCTACAATTAGGTCCTATATTAAGGATCGGAAGAGTATCATTTTTCTTTTCAAGAAGTTGACATATGGTAGACAAACCATGGAAGCCCAAATTCTTGCCTCTAGTTTATGTTTTTTCCCCTTCTTATGAGCAAAATAACGTTTTTTTTGGGAAAATTAGGGAGAAGGACCTAACAAAATTAGTAATTATTAAGAGGGATCTTAAAAATTGCAATTAATTTGAAAGACCAAAAATTAAAATAAAATTTTACAATTACCAAATTATCCCTTGTCAAATCCTTACATTATCTCCAACACCCTTCTATCTCAATTTGACAATTAGTTATCAATTGAAATTGATTTCTCTCTCTCTGTGTAGCTTCTTTTGATGCACGCAAAGTTTTCATCAATAGCAATTGTCTTATTGTAAATCCAGAACAAAGAAGATAAATTAAAAGGAACCAACTATTTATTGGACCGTACATGTATTCTGAATATTATTTTCCCTCCTTTAGTTTGTTTGTACTGAATGTTTTCTTATTTTCTCGTGGCCTCTATCCCACTGTTCAATATGTGAACTGTAAACATCAGTAATATACTTACACTATTTATATGTATATGTTTCGCACCCAATTTTATTACAATATATTGTATGCAAATCTGGATGAATACCGACTAATGATGATGATAAGGTAGGTAGTGTCATGGAATTCAGGCAGATATGATAGATATTTAGTTCATTAATAACACAAGCTCTTGACTGAAGTCAATATTATTGTGCTATAGATGCATAGATATTCTAGTTTGCATTATGATAAGCTATTTGATTTGCTCACGGTATTTTGTGCAATTATATATCCAGGTTCAAATTGAGTTTTATGGTGATGGAGACAATGTAGAAGACAAGATTCTAGGTAGCTTCAATGGTTGGCATCGTTCATAGGATATATGCTTTGCTAAAGTGAACTTTTAACTTTTTAATGTTTTCTTAGTTGTTTGATTTATTTGATATTAACCATATATCTTTGAAACCTATAACCTTTGAGCATCAGTTTGATGTCATAATATTCGGTTCAACTTTCCTTAGTAATGCAATGATGTTGTTCAAATTTCTTTATTAAGTTAATGAGGAGTTATAATTACTTAAATTTTAATTCTTTAGCATCTTGGTTTGCTAATATTTGATTAAAAGCATCCCATATAAGGACTTCTTGGATGAATATAAAAGTATATATTTGTAGCTTCATTCAATCCCAACTTATGTATGAACACAATCGTACTACCTATACAAAGCTTCTTAGATGAATAAAAATATAGTTATTTCTATTAACCAAAATATGAAAATCAAGTAAACATTACTCCTTTGTAACCTAAGCTTTACTAATAATTTTTCCAACCACATCAAAATGAAAGAGAAAATCGCAGTCGTGCAAGCTGAAAATTTGTCTAACCATATCGGAATAAAAGACTAGTAGCTGCTAATATAAATGGCTGAAAAATAAGACTCTATTTTTTTGGGTTAATTGCTGTATTCAATTTTTAATTTTAAACGGGTGGCAATTTAGTAATTATAAATTTATATTCCAATTGATAACTAACCGTAGATAGGTGTTAGAGATAATGTAGGGATTTGGTCAGAGATAATTTTGTAATTGTAAATTCATATTTTAATTTTTGGTCCTTCAAATTAATTACAATTTTTAAGATCCCTCTTAATAAATAATAATTTTTTTAGGTCCTTCTCCTTAATTTTCCCTTTTTTTCCCCTTTGCTGTTATATGTAGCATTTTTTTAATTTGCTTCTATGGAAGTTGGCATTGATCATGGTGAAGAATGCATTGTTCTTTATGGAAATAATTGCAAAAATAACAAAAATGGGGAACCTAGGAGCGTGTACTTATCTGAAGTTTATTAATAACGTTATTGCATGTCAACAGGATCTTGAAGTAGAAGACTAGAAGGTAAATCAACATCTGATGATATTTCCTTAAAAATTCTGATGACAAGCTCCATTGGCATCGTGATTTAAATATATGTTCTTATGTTTCGGCCCCAAAAGAAATATGATTTCTCGTGTGACATGAGCCAATTCAATTAGACCGTTTTGCTGGCCAAAAAAATTCAACCAGATCGATTTTTTTGGGTAGATGTGGTTAATCAATTTTAATTTTGAAAAAAGCCTCAGTGAAAATTGTTATAGGCATCATCAACAATATTTCACAAGTGGACCACGTGTTAAAAAAAAAAAAAATCTAAAGATGTACTCAACATCTCAAAACACTACCTCCTATCTTTAATATAACAGCTTATTTGACTTTTAGTTTGGTTCTAAATATAAGACCTTAATCTATTCTGTTTTTCGTATTTATTCTTTTTTTTAAGATAATTTTTATAATAATAGCAGTTCCAACTAATGTACTTGATTAGCACAGATATTTTAACAAAAATAATATCTATTCATTACAAATAACTAACTCAACTAATTTTTTTAATCTATTTAAATTAATCAATTAGCTCTTATATTAAGGATAATAAGTAGTATTTTGTGATTTAATTTTGTTCTTAATGTACTAATAAAGGATCACTTCTACTCCAAAACAACAGACCCACAAGCGTCGGTTAAAATCCACCTGGTTTACGGGCATCATCATTGAAAATTGGTTCACAAATAATATGGAAATTAAAAGAACACATTTCTCTAAAATTAAACAAAAAATAGTGAACCAATAAAAAACAATGTTATGGCTTATTTTTCTCAACAAATTTGGAGTCATGGAGGTCAGAACTGCATAGACAGGAAAGGTCACGTTATAAACAGGAAAGGTCACGTTGTAGAAGTACGCAGTGCATGGGAAAAGTGTAAGCAGAGGACAAATAGATTCACTTTTTTAAGGTGTATTTCACTGAATTCGTTTAGGTCAAGAATAAGTTTTATTTTGTGAGGTAGGTCTTACTAAACTTGTTCTCGGTTTGAATGAGTTTTGTTGTTTTGTGATGTGAATCCTACTGAACTCTTTTTCGATCTAAACAAGTTTTGTATAAATTTAAATCCCATCACAGTCTAAATGATTTTTAGGTATAATATCTCAGTAAATATTTTTGATCTTATTATACCAGAGTAAATTTTTTTTAAAAACTTTTTATCATATTTGGGTGAAAAGCCCCAAAATGTCTGGTCATCTTAACACTGGGTGCCAAGTTGAGAAGGTGAAAACTCAAAATCCAATTGCTATGCATGCGAGAGTCATGATTTCATTGTCGCCGCATTACGGTTTCCATTAGGGCTCCGTCGCAAGCTTTGGTAAGAGATCAGAAAGTGGCATCCTGCATCTCCGAGGTACCTTACTTGCAGGGTAATTTGGTCTTTTTGTATGATGGGAAGTGCAATGGAAAAGAAACTCATTTCCCTTTCCTCCGAACGGGACCTGTTATGCTGTTTATCATTACCAATGATTCAATGCAATGTATTAGTATTATCCAGGCAAGGAAAATAGTATTCTGCAAGCCGCAACCTTCTTTTGAGAAAAAGGTCCAACCTTTTGTTTAAACTTAAAACCACAGAAGAGTGAACGAAACGCCATTGTTTCTTTGCCGTATCGCCCTCTTCCTCCATTTCTCCATTTATTCAGATAATTTTGCCTTCATTTCTTCAAATTTGCCATTCTCATATGAGCCCAATATAATGCCAGTCTTCCACTCTTATTTCCACAGCCGATGTTACAGTAGGATATCGCATTTCCTCCCTTCGTTTTGGTGACTCTCGAAACCGAAATTTGAATTGAGCTATTCGATGGTGCAGACCGTATTGTTCGGTGAGTAGAATCAAATTCTAAATAAAAACAAGTATAGGTTGAACTCCTCTTTCCAATTGCTTTTTTCATTTTTTTTTTTCTCGGGGGTTGGGTGTGGGTGAACTTGATGCATGACAGCATGATATCAACTGGGGAGAAGGGTGTGGTGGAGCTCTCAGTGTGCAGGGGAACTTCGGGTATATAGCCATTAGTCCTTTTCCATGCTTATGTTGGCTAACACTAAAGGAAATTTCATCATTGATCTAATTTGATTACTTATTTTTGGTTAGAATTAGAATGGTAACTCTGTCAATAGTAATCAGTTGCTATTGCTGGTTGTACCATTTGCTGAGTATTTAAGTTGGTTGCCATTGCATTGTATTGATATGAATGGAAATTTTTTTTTTTTTTTTAAAAAGAATGTTTCGTACTGGAAACTGGCTTTTATTTTGGATTGGAACGAGACATGAGCAGATAATACTTCCCTGGACTAGCTATCGATGTAATTTATTAGTATGCAATTCTATATTCTGGTTCCCTTTGGTTCCTATATTTGTTGAATGCAGTGTGTAAAGAATTATCTGTTAGTGATACTTTGCTTGCACTTTAGTTATTCTTGTTTGCTTAATGGGAATTTTTTTCACAGGCAAGTTTGGAATGAATGAAATGATGGTCCCAGCAACAAGCAATTCCTGCACCTTTAGATTACCTAGCGTTCTCCGCAAGGCATTTACATTACCATTAGAAAGGAGAACATGTGGAAAGGGAGTTTTACGAAAATTTTCCACATATGCGTCGCCTATGATCTCTTCAACAGCTGCTCCCATGGATCAGCCACCCTCATCTATGGTATTAGCTTCCCAGCTTTCACAATCTGATGTTCCACAGAGATCAGAAGAGTGGTTTGCCCTTCGTAAGGACAGGCTGACTACAAGCACCTTCAGTACTGCATTAGGATTTTGGAGTGGGAACCGTCGTCTTGAGCTGTGGAATGAGAAAGTATTTGCATCAGAAGCGCAAATCTTGGAATCTTCTAAGAAAGGTGCCATGGATTGGGGTGTGCTGAATGAAGCAGCAGCTATAGATCAGTACAGGCAAATCACAGGTCGTGAGGTGAGCTCAATGGGTTTTGCTGTTCATCCAAAAGAGGGGTTTGATTGGCTTGGGGCCTCTCCTGATGGTCTTCTTGGTTGCGTCCCTGGAGGTGGGATACTTGAAGTCAAGTGTCCTTACAACAAGGGCAAGCCTGAAACTGCCTTGCCTTGGTCTGCCATGCCTTTCTATTACATGCCTCAGTTGCAAGGTCAAATGGAAATATTGGATCGTGATTGGGTTGATTTATATTGCTGGACGCCAAATGGAAGTACGATATTTCGCGTGTGCAGGGAGCGTGAGTATTGGGACTTGATACACAGGGTTTTACGTGAATTTTGGTGGGAAAATGTGATTCCTGCTAGAGAAGCTGTGCTATTAGGGAGGGAAGAAGAGGCCAAGTCATATAAGCCTCAATCTAAACACAAACTGACAGGGTTGGTAATTTCTAAAAGCATAAAGTTAGCTAGTGCATCAAAGCTGTTGTGTAGAGAGATTGCAGGTCATGTTGAATTTTACAGGTGATAAGAGGTCACAAGAAAGGTCAAGCAACTGGCTTGACGGTGTAATCCTTATCTTTATATTTGTAATCCATTGTTTCCATGTATTCTTTAATTGCTTTCTAATGCCAATCCCTTTGCTTCTATTTTAAATATAAACAGAACTTCTATCATCTATGCTACATGCACATGACCCAATCAGAGATTATGATTGGTCAGCATCACGGGCAAGTGCAGTGTATTAGCTTATTTTCGTACATAGATATTTATATTTTATACTCGCAGTCCATCCAGTTTATCTCAAGCAAGGCCTATGGTTCCCTAAGCCTTCTGGTTTAGGTTTGTTAATTAATTGAATCAGCATGGACAAGCGCTTGCGATGTAGAGAGGTTCAAGAATAGGCACCTTCTTATTTTTTTTAATCATATAATGCAATTCAGTTGTGACCCAACAGCGTCTTGTAATGACCCTAATTAAACGATTCATATATTTACTAGAAGTTTAATTTAAAGCAAAACCATAAATAATTATTAAGCTGAAACAAGCATGAAAAGACGCTAAAAGGAACATTATATATGTACGCATAAAAAAAACTCTTTATAAAAAAGGGATAGCTATTTACAAATTAATTTATAGACTTCTCATATTCACACAACGAATCACGAGTGTGAGAAGCGTTATTCATCAAGACTATTCTTTGTTTTAGTTGTGTTTTCTGATAATTTTTTCCGATAACACGTTTTCTGATTCTCTTACAACTTGTGCAGCAATTAGTAGTGATCATAACTCATTGATGCTCCAACATATGTTTTAACCCAAAGTGATCAATCTTTATTGCAAAAATTTGTCATTGCAAGTATAATGTCCGTTGTTTGACTGTGCTATTGCCATTAGTTTCTTCCCACATGCTGACTGTGCTTGCGAAATGCCAATGTTAGACACATCAGTCTCAGCAAAATTTTTAGAAGAATTTGGAAGAATAAGTCTACTTCTGTCACTGTTATGGTAGATTTAAGCATCTCAAAAGCTTGATTTGTTTCCTCACTTCACTTGAAAGTTGCACTCTTCAACAAATCTGTCAATGGCATGCGCATGGTTCCATGACTGCTCAAAAAAACCTATATTATCCGGGCATGCCCCAAAAAATCTTCTAAAAATAATAATATGAAATAATCACTTGAAGAAATTATCACTTGAATTCTTTTTTGGATCTGCCCCTACTTCTCGTACAACTTTTAAAAGCGACATACGTAACGACTTGAACCAAGATGGTATGAGTTGCACTAGAGAAGAGAAAAGAGAGAATCTTTAATGCATCGACTGCAAAAAGAAAACAAGTCCTTATCATATTTATAACTAGTAATAGCAATTACACATCAGATTAGGCTGTTATTCTTAACTTTCTTCCACGTCCCATTCTTTCAAGGCCACACACAAAAATGATTCTGGGGGTAAAAAAAAAAAAAATCAAAGCAGTTACACCTATGGGATACCAAGTTCACTCATTAGCAACAAAAACTGAAAGAGCAAATAAAGAAGTATCCCTCTTGCTATTCATTTTGGATTATTCCCACAAAAGGACCACGCTCCTATTCTTCAGTTTTCACACGCCCACAAATCAACACAAAAAGATATTATAGCACCAATGAAGCTTTCAGCACTGCATTCCGTCAACAAACGCCTTGATGGTCTTGGTTTTCTCTGCCAAATATAGAGGACATATAGATAATAGAAAACCGTACTCACTCTTCAACCCATCTTCTCCATGAATGTTTCCACAACTGTGCGGCCATTGATTATTTTTGTTGTTCCAATAATCAAATCATACGCCATTCCTTCCTGCTAGGCAATCCGAATTAAGAAATGAGAAGATAAAAATTCCAAGAGAAGCCTCAAACTTGATCTTTAGTCACAGGGATAAGTAGGAAGATAAGGAAAGACTTGTTATCCAATGCAAAACACGCATGGGCTTGCTCAGTTGTGGGAAAAGTTGATATAGAATCATGAAAATTGCAACTGTTTCTAATATATCAGAATTTTAGGGCCCCAAATTATTTTGTATGTTAGTAAGTTCAGTATATATTATATTGTTGGACGAAGAAGTTGTAAGTGGCGTCTACGGTCAAAAACTCCACAGTGAGCACACCAGTTTATAAACAAGAGTTTCTAGTATTGAAGGGTCTTCTCCAGTTGAACGGGTCATTTGTGTGACGTAATAACCATAACTATGCCTGCGTATGAAGTGTGTCCCCATTATATTCATGCAATTACAAAAACTTCCATGCTAATGCAGCATAAACCCCACACCCCCCCAACCACCGAAAAAAAAAAACCTCCTGCAGCACACCAATAAAAAAAAATTGTAGCACTGAATAATAAGAATCCTGAGATTTATTCACATCAGACTCTGCAAAGATCACAATTGCAAAAGGTCCAGAAAATTATCTGTTATTCCTCGTAGAACCACATGATTAAGCTGAAATAATTTACTAATTTACGAAAAACCCTCACCCATATAGTCCCTAATACGTCGTCCGAATATTAATAAGTGATATATAATAAAGATGCAGCTGCCACTACAAATTTTGGAAGACAAGAAAAGCTGCGCTAATAGCCAAACCAGAATTTATTTACAGGGAAAAAGTATGGGTAACCACACATCATCCGCAGTCCATGCTGCAGATCTAAAACTACACCAATTAACATACCTGGGCACTAAGAAACCGAAGTGCAGAAATTTCTGCAAAGGTAACCCCTCCAACAAAGACCACAAGCACCAGTGAACGCCTTCCATCAGTTACTCTGAAAAATATGGAAAGTGTCATAACAGGGGTGAACAAGCATATTTATTGGTTTCTTCAAGAACGACAAAAATCAGCAAATATATGAACACCAAGAGAAAATGGAAACACAATACTATTCATTTCAATCACTCCATCATACGTCTCCATCATCCCATATTCATAGGCTACTAGGGATTCAAGTCATCTGTCGGATTCTTGATATAGTTGTTTCTTAATAATTTCTACAAACAACTAACTAATCCCGAAGGACTAAACCTAGATAACACCTTTTGTAAAGTAAATCCACCAGTGTCAAATGTTACATTACTCAGGAAGCTAAACAAGAATGTCTACAAATCAATTAAACACACTGAAGACTTTTCTGCTTCAAAGAATTTTCTCAAGGGAACTAGCCTCAACTAAGGTGCTAAGTATGCTCCACAAGTGACTGACAGTGAGTGAAATACAATAAGAATAGCAGGAAATGTATGACATCATCTACTGCTAGAATGTTAAGCTGCAATGATTTGACATAGATGCTGACTACAGATGTAACAAAATAAGTTTCCAGGAATTTATAACATCTTCTGACAATTATAGAAGTACATCTTCTTCTAGGGGTAAAAGAACAGGGGATGCAAAATCCTAGAAAACTAGCACAGATGAATACATACTTAGCTATGTTGGTTGAAGCACCAGACAGAGTGTCATATGATGGGCTGTTTGAGAATCCACCCTGCATGAATAGGCAGAAAATGCAAAACTTAAGTTACAAGAAAGAGAGGCAAGGAATATAGTATTGGCATCACTTGAAATATTCAGCATGAGAACTTGGATATGAACTATGAAGCAAAATTGTATGTCCAGCAAAAGTAGAAACTTTGACAGTTACATCATGGATGCAAGATTTTGAGTAGGAAAACGCACTGACCCTCTTAGTTTCTAAATGAGGTCCGGGCAGCAGCTTCAGAATTTCTTCAACAGGACGCCTAAAATATCAATGATCAAATTTAAATGCTAAGAGAATGTTAATGAACTACTAAGTTTATATTCATCCACCACAGAATTCCCAGAAAATTCGATGCAACCACTTAACTCACAAATATGTCGTTTGAAGTAAAAGCATAGCAATACATGCAATAATGTGACAACTTTAGCATAGATAAAAGCTTAAAAAAAAAAGTATCACATGGCGGGAAACTATTTATAATCTAACAAGCAGCCGCTAAATTTTGAGTAACCAAAATAAAAAGATCATCACTAGTTAGCCTTGTCAGCTTTAAGCAGAAATTTGAGTTCACCCACTACAAGGAGCAATACATGCCAATTTTTATTATTGATAATTATATCACTTTGGACTTCATTACTTCAACATATCTAATGCATAGCTTGGACAATAAGAGCGGTCATAGCAGGTTTATACGCAATTACGTGCTAGGGCATAGGGTATTATTACAATCCGCAGAGCAGAGGTGTACAACAATTTGAATTATACTTGATGGTGTCCACATTGATTCATGTTTGCCTATGCTATCTAACAGTTAGGCATCTATACTAAGCCACGCCCAACAATTAGTTAGGATGGTAAGTTGAATTTTACAGTGCCTATAATTTAAACTTGTTTCGTGTTTAAAGGTAGACAATGATCCAATACAGTGATTTCTCCTGCTCAAAAATAACTAGGGGACATTTATCATTAAGGATTCAAATTTACCATCCAGATCGAATGGCATGGTGGATCAGACGAATACTGAGTGGTGCATATCCAGAGAAGACGTAAGCAATATCATTGGGGCTGCCATATCATTATATCATTTGCAATGTTAGTAAGGAAGAAGAAATAGAAGAAAAATGTGAATATAGAGTGCAAGAATAGTGTTGATAGTGAAGGATTTAAAAAGATAGAGTTGTTGTGAGAATACAACTCCACAAAACAGGCAATATATAAGCTACGTTTTTTTCCCCCAGTATAACACAAGCAAGACAAATTTAAGACCCAAAAGTGCAAGTGCTGTCTTTAATTGCGACAATGCAAATCAACACTGAAATACAATCAGTTCTTCTACTGACAGACCAAAAAGGCATCAATAAATGAAAGTGTCAGAGCTACAAAGGTCACAGTATACATGATGACGGTTAATTGCAAGAACAAAGGCCCTAGACACTTGCACATCAATCCAACCAATAATCAAGTAAAGCTAATACTGCAACAACAATTAATTTTAAAAAAGAAGAAAGAGGACAGGTAAAGGGAAGAGGAAAGAGTTGTGGTACATAGCAAAAAGGACTCAGAATTAGACCTAGCACAAGATTATTAGGGACTCAAATTGAACAATGTCATCTAATCTGAAAAGGGTTGCCAAAGCATAGGCAAGCTGAGTAAGAAAACAACAAAAATAATTTTGATGGTCTCAATGGAAAGCATTGAACAAATTGTACAGTACGATCCCAGCATAACCTCTGCCATAGCATTCTCCCAGAAGTTTACCCCATTGAAAATGCAGCATATACCTATAAAGGTTCAACACACTACAATTCTACTGCACATCCCTCATCATGTTGACCAAAACGCAGATCATGGTCACAACTCATGAACTTAACACAAAACAATACAAAATTTAGTCAAACAAATATTACTTCGCTGTGTCAGTGTCATCAACTACAAGCTGTAGAGCACGTTTTACAGTAAACCAGTTGCTTTTTGACTCCTGCAAGGATCATATGCAAAATGAGAGATTAAAAATGTAAACATTTAAATATATTTGCGTTTCAAATAACTCATATACCTGCTTTTTTAGGAGTCCAGATTTCTCTAAATTATTTAGTGTTGCCATATGCTCAAACCCATAGCTGTGAAGTAGTTCTCTCCTGAATTGGAAATACAAAGCAGGCAGACATCTTTAAGTCCTCCCAGAAAGAAAAGAGATATAAAATGCAAAATAGGGGGTTAATCTTATAAGTTAGTGTTGCCATGTGCTCAAACCCATAGCTGTGGCTAGTTCTCTCCTAAATTGGAAGCATAAAATATACAGACATCTTTAAGTCCTCCAAAAAAAAAAAAAAAAGCTATAAAATGAAAAATGGGGGTTAATGTTATAAGTTAAAGAGAGCCAAGATCTAATGTGTCACCAAATGGGGGGGAAAAAAGAGGAAGGCCATATTAAGCATGAAAATCTTGCCTCAAATAGTCAAAATGCTTCTTTGGCAACCCTGAATTAGTAACAGAAAATAATATAAGAAGGCGCAGGACAGTGGTAAGTGGCTCCTGCTTCTGGATCATCTCCTCAATGTACTCAAAGCATCTGCATGTATGAATCGAACAACATATGTTTCACAGTTTTTAAGTGATGCACTTGCAGCATCCTTTGAAGCATATCACATCAAAAGCAGCAAGACGCTAATCCAGATGAAAACAATAGAAATGACAGTTTTTATAATACCCAAAAAAAAAAAAAAATCTTGTATACAGATCTAAATTCATATGATATAAATTCAGCTAGCATGCCATAAGACATAAAATACATAACATAAATCTATAATCCCACTAGGTGAATAATCATAACTGTAGCTTGAAAGTTTATAATAGCAGAAGAAATGACTGTGATGGGAAACTTTGACAGAACCACGTGTTAATAGCTAGGCAGTAGGTTGGAGAGCCCAAGGTAGGACTAAAGTCTCATGCTTCCAATGTAGGATCTCAAAATTACCTCAGCACTAGACAATCCCGGTACAGTGTAGTCCGTCTTAGTAATAGCTTTTTAACCTAGGCTAACCCATTAACAACAATGCACAATTGCAATATAGAAACCTTTTAGAGAGCCGCAGCAAAAAGCCATCTCACAAGACTGGAAAGCCTAAAGACCATATCAATTTCACATAAAATCCTATACGTCCAATATAGGACTCAAGTCCCATACCTTGCAATTGGACTGCAACAGAACCGATATAGCAGGAAACCATTAGTCTTTATCTATTAATAACTCTTAGTAGCGATTAAGATTCAACTCAGTGTATTATTGACCGTAAGAAAAAGCAAAAAAGGAAAATTGAAATGACATATCCCAAAGGCAATGTTAAATCATGTCTCTTTGATGTTAGATTAGTTTCATTAAAGAAAAAAAGGAAAGACTAGGAACTTGGAAGGAGATTTGATTGTGGCTTCCTACTTATCATCTCAAAAGTTCTATTGATACAAGTATCTGCAGTCCACAAAGTTTCCCACACCTTAATATTTGCTATGAAAGAAATTGTAAATACAAAATGTGGCATTCAGCGAAAAGGTCATCAAATTTCATAGTGAGCTGGAGAAATGGAGAAGCATGCATTTATCAAACACAACTCAAATGACATCAAGCAGAACAAGTGCAAAGTCCACATTTTTCAAGCAAATTTTAAATTAGCAAGCACATATAAGTGAGTTCAATATCAAGTTGCTCTCAGTATACATTGGAATAAATATACAACTACTCACATGTCATAACTTTGGGACTCAATTATTGTGTGTTCCATATCAAGCTGCCCAAGAAATGATGGCTTTGATGTGAATTTTGACAAGTGTTGTGCCAGATTTATGTGTCTCTGGAGCAATAATTTAAAGAAAATTATTATTTTAAAAATCACGAGGCAAATCCTATTGATGAAATGTCAAGAACAGTAAAAATAAAAAATCTTACAGTCATTTCTGGCAATGAGTTCAGCTTTCTGACAAAATCCTTCAATTCAGAAACTGTCTGTGTCTGGATATGATGGAGACCATATGTTAAAAACCATTTGTGAATGCCTTTAAATTTTCCCAAACTAATAAAACTAGTATTACTGCAGCAGATAAGGTAAATGCGCTATCATGAAGTAATCCTGGACTATTCAGGTTCTCATTTGTCAGGCACTTAATGAAAAACTCTTATAATCTAATACAACAACAAAAGCCTCACTTCACGTTATTAGACAATTTGACCACCTGTAGGCAGAAAAAGATATTAAAAAAAATCTTAAAAAAATCACTAGGAACTTCATGAAAATTCTACATACATGCAAAGTGTATACAGAAAAATCAGCGTCCAAGGATAAACCTATCTACTTACAGTAGTTGTCATCTCTGTGTAGTCCTGCTTCATGGATGTAGCTTTTTGACGCAAAATCTGCAATACAGCTACTAAGAAAATAGAGCTCCAACATATCCAAATATCATATTTCTAATAACCCTTCGACAAACTCTCAAGAATGCACGCACATGCAGGTGCGTCACACAGAGAGAGAGAGAGAGATAGAGGGATTATTAATATATAAAAAAGAAAATGTTTAATGACTCAAAAGGTGGTAAAAATGAAGTAACCTGGACAACAACTTCAAAATTGAGATCCCGTATCTCCTTAAAAAGCTTGTCACTAACGTAAAAATGCAAGTGAATGTAAAACCAATAGATAAGCAAAAGGAAGACAAAATATAGAAAAACAGAAGAATAAAGAAACAGCATTTAAACATGGCCAAAAAGATAATGCTGATGGAGGCATAAGGAACCAGCGGCATTCTTTTTAACCACACTTTATGGAAAATTTTGAGATTTTTGCCAGGTGTTCCATCCATACCCTAAATTCTGATTCAGTTTCTAAGCATTGATATCAAAACCTAAGGATCTCCCTTATTTATATCTGCTGTTGTTCTCTTTTTTGCTTTATTCAGTGACTATTTGGCAGGGTTATACCACAACCCCTCCTTAAGTTATAAGCTTGAAGAGAGTTTATGAGAAAACATGAAATAAAATTTAAAGTCAATTTGGGGGAAAAAATCAATGATCTAGGAAATGCAAAACTTATTTGCGTAACTAACAAAATAAAACAAGTAAAGCGAATAACTTGCCTTGAATTAAGAGGAACTTTCATCTTTTTTCCTTCTTGTTGACCCATAATAGATGAATCAAGCTCCACAGCACCATTGTTGATGTGCAGAAACTACAATGATACGAATTTCCATTAAGCCTACACATAAATTTTATCTTGTCTTATTGTGTACCGCTGGATATACAGCTTCACCACAGACTCACACTAAAATTTCAAATAGAAGGGGCATGAAGCTTATGTATTGTTCAGAAATCCTTGCTGAAATTATGACATATGCCAAAAACCCATGTTTTGATCCATAATATCATAAACAAATTAAATTTCTTTTCACATAGGTACACACACACACAACACCAAGCATGTTTAAAGAAAATTCTAAGGAAAAGACCCAATCGGATGACAAAATAACAAAATCTTTTGTGCAATAGTTGCTCATTTAAAAAGATATAGTCTGCTTCTGAGTTAACTTGCCTCGTCAACAAGCCCCTCATATGTTAACTGAGAACACAAAGGAGTAACCATGTCCACCTGCATCAAAAAGTAATCAGTTTCAATGACCAATCAACCTTTTATGCAAACATCAACTGTATCTGGCATAACAAGAACTCTAAAGGAGACATAAACAATGGCATAGAAAATAAACCCAAAGCATAAAATATATATGCAATAATATTCAATTTTCAAATTTAGCAGCTTCAAAAAAGAATCTTGAATTAATTACTCTTCACAGACATCACGAAGAAATAGCCCTTAAACTAAAAATAAGTGAACTGAGTTACAATTCAAATGGTATGTAATAAAAAAAGAACTAAATTCATGAAAAACTAATATTAAGTGAACATAAGCTTAAACATCAAATCTCAACATTCACATGCTTTAAATATTCGAGTCTTCAGTAGACTGAACTGTCGATTTCACATTGACATATACTTCATTCCCCTGTTTTTCAATAATTCTTTACTAAAGGGAGAAAGAAAGTGTAAGAGCCTTTGCAAATGAAATCATAGCATCAACCTTTATCACCACTTTCTATCCATAATCACTCAAACCTCAGTATCATCCTTACCACACTCATTTGCAAACATATGTCCATAATCATTCAAAACCTTAGTATCATCCTCACCAACTACTCAGTTTTTCTTTTCCGAAATTCCTCCCTCGCATTTTTAGTTCTTTTCTACATCATTTTGGCGTCAAGCCCAGCTTACACTCCATCTAATCTTATGTCAGGGTTCGTTATCCCAATAGATGTCAGAATTTCAATGGGCGATTATGTTGTATATAGGAGAAGCAATGAAATAGACTACCATACACATACATAATTTGACTTACCTAATGTCATATGAATATCTAAGATGATATGGTGAAAAGGACTTACCTCCCTATCTAAGAGGATAAGAGTATTTATCTCTGGCACAAGCATCTGTACAAACAATAACGCAAGTGAATAGTTATAAGAAGCACTTTCATCAAGATCTCATAACTTTGTCGTCTTTGTTATCAACAATGCTAAGTAGTTTGAAGAGAAGCAGAGTAATGCAAAGTTACATCGGGTGAGCTAACTGGTTCCTCAGCTTGCATGCGGTTTAGAATGTCTGCTACACGCACAGATGCTTTCCCTTTTGCCCTCACATTTCGTATCAATCCAAAAGAAAACTGTAAAATATAGTGAAAGCATCACAGCTATGATAATATTTATATCAGAGAATATACAGACCAAATAATCGTATGAGATTTCATATTTGCGATGATATTCATAGAAAAGGAATTCTATTGATATATCCCCACTAATTATTCTTAAGTTGCATTATTACAAATCTATATAAATACTAATGTAATCTAAAACCTCAAGTTTGTGAATAGCTTTTGCAATATGCCAAAGTGAGCTTGTATCACCATCCACCAGGCATTCCTACCACAAAGAGATGGAAAAATAGAATAAGCCATTAGTCAATAGAAATAATAAGTACAAGCCAAGTCATGGCCAAGAAAACAAGCTAAAATAGATACGAGCCCCAATGGATATGTGTAACTACAGCAACATCAACCATACTTTGTAAGCAAGGTCTAGTTCAAACGAGAGCAAATCATCATCCATTGGTACAAGATACAGGGGATATTCCCCTATTGACATCATGTGATGTACTTTCTCTTCTTCAAGAACCTGCATGACAAAAATGATGAATTATATTGTATGCATAAAGAAACGTATTAATAAAAGGGACTTAGAGCAAGGAGAATGGATAAATTTCCCCTAAAAAAGAACTTACTTTCTCACAAACTACAGTGCGGCGAGGGACAAAATAAACATGATACTCTCTTTGCAGTCCTTTTGATACGTCATTGTTAACATTTGAACATATAAATTTCATCAAATTAGGCTGAGAGCGCACAAGGTAAACTATTTTGCTGCAGTCAGTTTGAACTGGCTCAGCTGAAAGATGCCGTAATTCAGCCCCAAGCTCCTGTTTAAATAGTTAAATAAGACCACTCAATATCATCAGAAACTAAATAAACTGCTTGTTGGGCAAAAAACCAAGATGAAAAATAAAAAAAATGAATTCACTGAATTAAGCAAGAGGGAAAAAAAAATTAATCTTTGATGGAGAGCATATTGTCACTCCTCTCTTCTTCTTCTTCTTCTTCTTCTTCTTCTTCTTCTTCTTCTTCTTCTTCTTCTTCTTCTGCTTCTTGTTTAATATAAAAAAGATAGCTATAGAATGATATTGTCCAGGATTAATTTTACTAATATCACCATAACCTTAGTCCCAAAAAAGACCTCAAAGGAAAGAGTAGTTTTAGGATAAGTGCCTTCAGAATTGATGTCTGTATAATTAAGGAGAGAGATCCCCCGAGCTTCGGATCGATTACCAAGCACTTTTTTCCTCGAACCTGCGAGCACTCCAAGTCAATTTATGAAACATTCGTAAAGTCAAAATTTAGTAACTTTACCATATGCAAGCAAGAAAATCAAGTAGAATACTTGCATATGAAGTTATAGTGCAGAATGGAACTCAGAATTCCTTAGTTACATCTTTTTAAGCCATGGTAAGTAAGCCGAAATAAAAAAAAAAATTTTCTATGGCTCATATTTCCATTTTGGGAAATGAATAAATGGCGGGGATTAAAAACAAAGCACTCACATTCTTGAGGATATTGATGAGCTCCTTTTGAGACTGTTCCCTGAAATAAGCAAAAAAGGGAGCCACAATGTCAACATTGAATTTGAAGACGTACACTTCATAACGATCACAGAGCATTGGTTCTTACCTAACGGATGTGAGATTGACAGGAGCATTGTCGAGGTTGGGAATTTGAGCCATTGAGAACGATAATAATTCTCAGCGAATCCAGGAAGTTTCGTTGGAACTTATGTTCTCAGCAAAGCGTAAATCCGAAATGATAATTCAGGCTCGACGAGTCCATGAGCATGGAGCTAGATGATCCTTGAATTGAACCTACCAGAAGGCTTCGAGATTTCCAGGAAGTTTGCAGTCAGTGAGATCAGTTTAGAAAAGCGAAAACGCAGCAGTAGCTTCTCATAATTTCATTAGCACGATAAACAGAGGAAATAGCGTGTTCAGTGTTGGCAGGGAAAATAGGCTGGGAAGTTACATTATGCTGCATTTAGTTTGAGAATATTAATAAAAGCGAAAATCGCAAAAACAGACCATAAAACTTTAAAAATTACAGATAAAGACCCATTCACAAAACTTTTTCATCAAAACCCATGCTGTTATTTAGGGGAGTGCAGGGCGAGCCCAAAAGATAAACGGATTGCATCTACCTGGTCCTGCCCAGTAGAAATCCTAGTTATTTTGGGCTGAGCTAATGCGAATTGGACAGGACAGGCTTCCTTTACCCAATTTTACAACTTGAGTCATGAAATTTAAAACATTGCCGTATATTTTAACAGATATCTATACTTTAAGAATTTAACAATATCCATAATTTATTAAAAACAAGATAATAAAAATTGTAATTAAAGCCTTAAAGTACAAATAATTTGCATCAATCTCCATAAAGTTGAGAAAATAATGAAACATATAAAAAAAATACAGGCTATATTAACATATTCAATTATATTATTAACTTATGGTTTAATATACTTTATAGAGATCTATGTATTATATTCAAATTGGTATAATTAGTATCATTTCATGATATATGAAGTGATATTAACATGAAAAGTTAAAAGACAATTATAGTACATAGCAAGATAATTTAGAGAAATTAAAAAAGGTGGTATATTTTTTTTAAAAAAACTAGAACTTTAAAAATATAAAGTCTAATAATATAAGGGAGTAATGTCCCTTTTGGCTATTGAAATATAATAAAATATAGTACATTAATATTATACTATATATATTATAATTCTTAAAATATATATTATAATATAAATAATTATATATTTTGGGCAAAGCCAAATGGGTAGGGCTGCATGCTATGCCTGCGGCCCAGTCTTGCCCGTGATTTGCCCAACCCGAAAATACTCATTTTTTCTTGGGCTATGTTTTTTTGGGCTGGGCTGGGCATTTTTATGGCGGGCTCGAGTGGGCACATCAGACTAATGAGTTCATGAACACCCCTACTGTTATTATCAAAACTCATACTAATATTGTCACAAGTCCCTATTTGTAATTTTTCAAATTCCACAATCTTTTTTTTGTGATTTTCCCTTAATAAAATTTGTTAAGTTAATTATTTATAATGAATAAGTATTATTTTTTTTAAAATATCTTATTAATTATATCTATTAGTTAGAATTGCTATTTAATAGAATTTTTAATATATATATATAGTTATTACGAGAACTATTAATAGATAAATATAAGAGATAAAATAAACTAAAATTTTATATTTAGAATCAGATTGAAAGTTAAACTAAATTTTATATTAAAGATTAATATATCTATAACTCATAAATATATATAATAACTAATAAATTCCAGCGGCGAAAAGAAAAACAACAACTTATGAGCAAGGGCATTTTATACATTGGTATATATATTTAAAAACTTTTAAAAATGATATTTTAATTTTTTATTTCCAATATTATATTGTTTATTAAAATCTATTTTTATATGACTGTGATAATTGATTTTATACATATAAATACACACACACACATATGCGCGCCTGTATATGCCTGTGTGTAAACACATGCAAATTTTGAATTTTAATCGTCCATAATTAAATTTCAAAAAAATTAAGAATAATGAAAAATTCTTATATGAATTAAAAAAATTAATCATCTTAATATTAAAATTCTAAAATTTAAGGGTCGAATCAAGTTAAAACTATAAGAATTAAAAAATTAATTATCTCAATAATAAAATTGTAAAATCTCCAAGAATGAAAATTTAAGATGATGTTCCTTCCACGAAGTTAAGCGAATGCCAACAGATAATTGATTACTTCAAACAAAAACTTTTAATAATTCCTTAAAAAAATATCATTTGCGAACTTGTCTTTGGTAATGCCAAGAACGATGAATCCTCTCCATCAAAGTGCTCTATATTTGAACATATTCCCTTCTTTTATTTAGATAATTTAACACCCTCTCCCCTACACCCATCGTCACTGCCCATCCCTGTTTTGATAATATGAGATATAAACCACACAAACTTTATAAGAGGTGGTGGGAGGTGTCAACTCTTAGCTATTTTAATATATGTTGATTGATGGAAAAAGAGAGAGAAAACCTCGTTAAATAAATATTAATGTGATTTTATTTCAATTTGGCTGTGAAAAATTATAAACTTTCATTGTAGTACTAAAGAATCAAAGTGAAATTATGTTTTGATGACAAATGACCAATCCATATGTAAATTTTGTTATTATTAGTTAGGAAAATTAATTTAGAGGTCTTTATAGTTTCCTTTTATTTTAAATAATAAGAATTCTAAATGGTGTTAAGTTTTATTTAATAGTTTTAAAAGGGAGTAATAGGTCTAATAACACTACGTCCAAATTAATTTTGCCTTGTTAGACGTTCAAATATATATCCATATCAGTAAACTTATTCATAAAATTTCTTTTATAACAAAACATGTGATTTTATAAATTGAAAATTGAAAATTTTCGTACAAGTTTTGCTATTGCTTGTTATTAAAATATGTATTTGTACTCAAACACTTGCAAAATTTTGAAAAATTCTATAAATTCAAACTTACAATTTTACATATGTAGCACAAGGGTCTTATATTTAGAACCAGAAAAGTATATTTCTAAATTTTACAAGTAATTGTTAAAATGTGCATATAACTATAGAAAATAAACTAATGAATTTCAATCACTTACCGTTAAAACATAATTTCATTTTGGTCCTTCGATATTGCATTAAAATTTTTTCAGAATTTCGATATTGAATTGAAATAAAGCGACATGAGCAATCCTCTATAGCTCGTTTGGTTTGTGAAATCAGTGAGAATGTAATGAAATGTAATCATGGGGAATGTAATGTATCAGATGCAAATAAAACTGAATGGACAAAAATGCCTTTACACAAATAAAATTCCCATTGTTGCCCCTTGTTCGTCATTCCTCATCCCCCCTCCACGTCTTCACCTAGAAAAATCTAGACAAAGAGTTTCTTCTTTAGCAAAGAGAGTCCTGGAGATTCATATCCAGATCCAGTAGCACTCACATGATTTTATTCATAAAATCACCCAACCATGATAAGGAGCTCAATATAGACAATGTGATTAAGTGATTTCTTTAAATCTGATAACTATTTCTAATTTAGGAGATAAATCCTGTCTAAAGACACCATGAATTCATTCTATCCAAAATGAGGATCTCATTACGTTGAATCTCTAAAAGTTCAAATGATGCAAGATGAAGAAACGAAGAACGAATAAGAACAAGGAACAAGAGCAAGAAATTCGGCAGAAATTTAGGAAGAAACAGGAGAATGGGGAACAAGAATGAAGAACAACCAAGAACGATGGAGGAGGAAGGAATGATGAAGGTGCCCATTGACGGAGGAAGGGTCGTTGGGAATGATGGGGGTAAAGCGAGATGATCGGGAAGCCAAGGGCAAGCAAGGTCTTTTCACATATTCTCATATGTTATAATCCCCATTCTTCACCTTTAGTAGTATAGTCCTTATTACCTCATATAATGTATTCTTGACATATCTAGTAATCACTTTTACAACCTAAATGTGCCTACCAAACACTTGGAAGGGGGCATGGCATTAGGAGTATAAAGAATCCTGATGTAATGCATTGAACCAAATGGGCACTTGGTAAAATTTTCCCAAAAAAAAAAAATCCACATGATAATTTTGAAAGAGAAGCATCTATACAGTTCAATATTTATCCACATATACCAACTGAAAATAATAGAGCCCCTTTGGTTTAATAACAAAATTGTAATGCAATAAAAAAACTGAATGCAACGTAAGTATCATGGAAATCAAGCAAGAATTTCTATTCTTTTTTTCCCGACAAGAAGTTAAAATCAACGTCCCCACAACAAATTTGGCATGACTACTATCAACATTCACTGCTGTCCCGAAAGATGTATTCTGGTGTTTCTTGCCTCCTTTGGGGGAAAAAAGAAGAGGAAATTATGCAAGAGATATGAAGGGTATGAAATAAACAACCCCCAACTTAACCTGCTCATTTATCCAACCCAAATGACCGTCCCAAAACCAGCCTGGTCATGACAATCCAACTAGAGAATTAAGGCTCATTGCGAAGCCCAGTTACTAGATTGTAAAACCTAGCGTTGGATGGTTCTTTTTTTTTTAAAAAAAACAAAAAACTATGGATGCCTGTTCTTTGCAAAACGAATTTATAGATACATCATTTTTTACAAATTATTAATTACACTGCAAAAATTACTTTGCACCATCAGATACAACTAATGGAGAGGCCAAAATGAATATTGGGTTGGCACATATTTACTTTATAAATGGCACACAAATGCAGAGAAAAAGAAAACATGAAGAGGAAAACCAAACAGGAATCTCCACCTCATGAAAAAGCATTCTACTGCATCACATTGTCACGCTAGAGTTGCCCTCTTGCCTTTTGCATCTCTTGACTGCACCAGAGATATGATAGCCACATCAGGAAGGGAGCGGGATAAAATGTGGAATCTCTTTGAATAAAATACAGGCACATGAACAAAAACAGGAAGGGAGCGGGATAAACCTGAGCAGCAACAGATCTCTTTGAATCTAGGAACTGGCTGTAAATGCTGTAAAGTCTTCTTTTCTCCTCATCTGAAACAGACGGTCTAGCCCTGGAGGCAATAACCTTGAGAAGAGTGTCTGTAATAACCGGTCTTCTCTCAGGCCCAGAGGTGTTCGCATCATCCAAGACTTCATGAACTGCTGCAAGTTGGGCGTCTGAAAGGAGAGCTTGGAGATCAGCTCCACTAAATCCTTCGGTCATATGAGCTACAGCAGCCAAATCCACATCACTGGCCAGGGGCAACTGCATTAATTAAAACCAAATCATTGAGTTGGCAGAACATCGAGTTTAGAAGACAAAAAGTGGGAAATTGGTGCACATCCACAGCATAATTATTAGTGTATTTTAGGATATGTTGACGAACTTTCTCAATTAATGTGTTAACTGCTCTGCTTAACGCTGCCTAACGCATTATCAAGTCCAAGCTTAATTGAGTCTTGAAATTCACCTTGTACTTAACATGCTAGTCACTTTGATTAATGTGAGAAGTGTTCAAGACAATAAATATCTTTCAAACTTGTTTTACGTGATTAACATGTTAACCGACCAAGCTTCTGACAAGCATTTAATGCGTTTAGTAAAAAGCAAAAAGCATAATTTCAAATAATGTCTCCATGGGTATCATAACAGCTATATAAGTGTTTCAAGCTAGTTGACAAGCATTTAATGCATTTAGTGAAAAGCATTTTTTTCAAATAATGTCTCTATGAGTACAGCTACATTAGTGTTTCTAACTAGTTTACGAGAAAAACTATAAACACCACCACATTTAAGTTGGTAGCTATAAGATGTACATAAGATTACTTTGAGCACATTAAAATTCATTGAAAGCTCTCTTATTTTATTTCCTGAACTTTAGTGTCTGTGTCTACTCTCGTGAGAGTACTCATTACAAAAATCTTTATTCCATCGTATAGAGAGATTACTTAAGATGCGGGATTAAGTGAGATTATGGGATTCTAATGGTACTTAAGTGGGATAAGAAACTCTATTCCACAAGTTAACTGCTAAGGTGAGAGAACAATCCATTTAAATATCTTATTAAGTATCCCATTCTACCAAGTCTCCATAATTAGGCCCCCATGAAAAGTTAATGTACTTGTGGCTGCACTCCATAGCCCTTTATTCAACCTCCTGCTAGTTAGAACCCTCCATGAGTAGCCCTCTCCAAAAACCCTCCATGACTCTTGATACCAATTGATAGGCACCTAAATGAGACAAAAACCAATTTATTTAAATACCCTATTGAGCATCCCATACTACTCAATGTGGTACTTAAAATTCCACACTACTAAGTCTCCATTAGATTCATAATCTATACATTAATAGACCTTGGGTTACAAGGCTAGTATTTATCTTGTGGATTGTAAAAGAGCTTGAATTACAAGGCTAGTCATTAAAGCAGGAGAACCAACTTAGGTAAACACCCTATTGAGCATCCCATACTACTCAACGTGAGACTTGGTATTCCATACTATGAAATCCATATGAGATTCATATCTGTAAGTTAAAAGAGCTTGAGTTACAAGGCTAGTATTTGCCTTGCAGATCGTTTGTAAACTTGCTATCATAGTGGAAATACTTACATGTAACCTAAAGAAATGGATGCAAGCCAAGTGATTTAGACCGAACTAGTATAAACCTTAAGTGCATTACTCTCTACTTGAGCTTCACTACTCTTGATGTCAAAGCTAATCTTGCACACTTTGCTTTATTGCTCTTCTCTATTTTATCTTTTTTCGGTGTCACAAAATATTTTTCTTAGTCACCCAATTCACCTCTCTCTTAAGTGTCAACTTATCTAAAAGATACCATATATTAACCCAGAACCTCACGGGTTTTTCACAAGTATATATTGTCTCTAATTGAACTCTATCCAATATGGGAAGACGTCAATTCTCATGTTTAACATCTTAACAATCTCTCCCTCCAGTGTGAATATACAACAACAATGAAATCTTCACAAAAGGCCTACACAATGAAATCTTTGAAGGATTTGTGCGCAAGTTAGATATGATTGACATTTACGATCTAACTTCAAGAGGAGCGTGGGAATTCTACCGGAAATTCAAGGATCTAAATGATTTTATTTGATTCTTCATTAATTGATTCTTACTGTTGTAGCATAGTCAACTATAGGATTATTGCTATTGATTACCAGTTGATTCCTTTCCTTGTACAGCTGTATCACTGCACTATAACTTCCTGTACATACTCTCGGTTTATATGAAATAAGAGAATAGACGGTTTGCTCAGATTTACTCTCAAACTCTTATCATTTTTCTTCATTTAAAGGGTTAGTACAAATTTCAGTCCTTCAAGTTTACCCTCATTTTGGTTTTGGTCCCTCAAGTTTCTTTTCATTTAAAATATTGGGCCCTATAATCCAACAAAAACTTAGACCACTTTGCTCCTTAAAGGACCAAAACCTATGGTTTGAAACTTAAGGAACTAAAACCAAAATGAAAGCAAACTTGATGGATCAACGATTATATTAACTCTTATTTAAACCACCCAACTTGAATTTTATGATTAACATCACCATTAATTTCACCATCTTTTTGTTTGATCCTAAATGTCTAAACTTTTTCACTTATGGGATGATTTGATCTCCCAATCCAACCTCCATATCCGTTCTAGCCCAATCTGAATAGCGTATGGGCTTCAAATGGTATGCATTCTTTTTAATCTAGGCTTCCATCATCATCTTCACATAGGTCCTTGCCATAACCAAACTCAAGAGTAGGAAAACAATTTCTTGTGTTAGGAGCCCCTATTTATAACATTAGAAAGCTCCAATGTAGTCCATGCTATTAGATCCTATAAAGATATGTAAATATATTGTAATTAATATAGGATCAAATCAGTTATGATAGGATAGGATATTATCCTCTAATAATGAGCCATTAATGATCGAGGCTCCTCTCTTGTGTATAAATTCTCCCTTTTTGATCATGAATATACAAGAAATATATTTCATATTATTTTCTCCTTAATATGGTATCAGAGCAGGCCATTTAGGGTTAGATTTTCTGTCTGGTTTCACTCTGTCTGCGCCGTACAGTGGGTCTCTGTCGTCAGCTTGTGTTCAGCGTTAGGGCTTTTGTGTCGGGCATTTGGTGGGAGCACACACTAGCCAGGGAGGATCGCACGGTGCTGACCGGCTGATCCCCGAAGTTTCGTCGCCGTCTGAGCAACACGTGAGCCTCATGCGCCGTTGCCTGAAGCGGCACTGTTCGCGCGCCGCTGTGGTTTTCGCCGTTTGAGCTCTTCTTCGACCTCGTCTTCCCTTTTCCGGTGAGTCCTTGGTGTTTTTTAGATCTAGGTCTCCCCCATTGTGTTGATTCAAACCTGTTTGGTTACTATGCCTTTTGAACAGTAACGTTCAAATCTGGTATTGCTGTTTTCCTGCCTTCTATAGACCGTAGGAGGTGTTGTTTGGTCCCTGGTGTGATCATTTGTGGCTACATATTTTTTTTTCCTTACCGCTGCTAGAATTATTATCTCTTTTCTGTTTATCTCTCATGGGTGATACTAAGTCTACAGTTACCTTTGAAGTGGTTCCGATAGTCGTTAGGATTACTGAGCACAAACTAAATTAGACAAATTACCTAGATTGGAGTAAGACTATTCGTATCTACTTACGAAGCATTGAGAAGGAGAATCATTTAACTGAAGACCCTCCGACCACTGACTCCCGTCAATCATGGTTAAGGGACGATGCACTCCTCTTCTTACAGATCCGCAACTCCATTGACAGTGAGATTATTCCTTCTGTTACTCACTGTGAATTTGTTAAAGAACTGATGAATTACTTAAGAGTTTTTATACTCAGGCAAGGGAAATATCTCTCGTGTTTATAAGGTTTGCAAAGCTTTCTATCGTGTAGAGAAGCAAGATCGCCCTCTCAAAACCTACTTCATGGACTTTAAACGAATGTATGAAGAATTGAATGTTCTAATGCCCCTTACTACTGATCTGAAAGTTCAACAGGCCCAATGGGAGCACATGGCCATCATGAGTTTTCTCACGGGTCTCCCATCTGAGTATGAGACTGTTCGATCCCAAATTCTTTCTGGATCTGAAATTCCTACCCTTCAGGAGGTGTTCTCTCATGTGATGAGGACTGAGAATCTTTCATCGCCAGTTACAAATGCTCCTGTCAGTGCTTTAATCAGGCGGGGACAAAATGAGAATCGTGGGACAACTAACCGTGGCGGTTCTAAGCAAGGGGAAACCCCTCCAGATTCAAATGGGGTGATGTGTTACTACTATAAGGAACCGGGTCATATGAAGTGTACTTGTCATAAGTTGCAAAACAAACAACAACGTAATAACTCTGCATATGTGGCAACACTAGCTGATGACAAGGTCACAATCTCTGCTGCTGAATATGCTCAATTAAAATCTCTCACACCACCCATGAGTGCTCCTACTGCAACATGTAATCAGGCTACTGCTCTTGTCTCTTCTTCCTCTAAATGGATCATAGATTCTGGTGCTACTGACCACATAACAAGTAACCGCCATCTCTTCTCCACTTATAATTCTTACGCCAATCCTTCAACTATCACTATTGCCAATGGCTCCCACTCCCAAGTCCTCGGATCAGGCACTGTTAAACCTACCCCTTCCATTCATTTGTCATCTGTGCTAGATGTACCTAATCTTGCATTTAATCTGCTTTCCCCTAGTAAAATTACTTGTCAATTAAACTATTGGGTCTCACTCTTTCCTGATCATTGCTTGATATAGGATCTTTTGACGAAGAAGATTATTGGTAGGGGCTATGAATCTAGTGGACATTATTTCCTTGACGAGCAAGGGTCTCGTGCTATGGCTTGTGCCGGTGGTCTCACTCCTTTTGAATCACATTGTCGTTTAGGTTATTTGTCTTTGTCTTCTTTAAAAAGGGTTTATCCTCAGTTTCAACATTTGTCATCTTTAGATTATGAGTCGTGTCAGTTTGCCAAACATCATCGTCTTCCTTTAGTTTCTTGAGTCAATAAACGGGCTTCGTCCCCTTTTGAGCTAGTTCATTATGATGTTTGGGGTTCGTGTCCTGTTAAGTCAACAATAGGTTTTAAATATTTTGTTACATTTGTTAATGACTATTCCCATACAACTTGGTTATATTTAATGAAAAGTCGTTCTGAATTATTCTCTCATTTTTATGTCTTTTTTGGGGAAATTAAAACTCAATTTCATACTTCCATTCGCACTCTACATAGTGATAACGCCAAAGAATATTTTTCTAGCACGTTTCAATCCTATATGCTTCAAAATGGTGTCCTTCATCAATCTTCTTGTGTTGATACACCAACTCAAAATAGTGTTGCATAACGTAAAAATCGCCACTTACTAGAGGTGGCACGAGCACTTCTGTTTCAAATGAAGGTTCCCAAAACTTTCTAGGCTGATGCTGTCTCCACTACTTGCTTCCTCATTAACCGCATGCCCTCTTCGGTTCTTGATGGTAACATTCCCTATACTACTCTTTTCCCTTCAAAACCTTTGTTTCCTGTCAATCCTAGGATCTTCGGCTATGTTTGCTTTGTCCGGGATGTACGACCATCTATCTCTAAATTAGATCCGAAGTCCCTTAAGTGTGTCTTTCTTGGCTACTCTCGGGTTCAAAAGGACTATCAGTGTTTCTCTCCCACTCTTAATCATTATCTCGTTTCTGCAGATGTCACCTTTCAGGAATCGATTCCATACTTTTCTCCGTCCATTTCACCTGCCCCTCCTCCATCTGTGGAAGAGGATGACCTTCTAGTGTACCCTATTCTCCCGCCACCCACTCTACCACCTCTAGCTCCAGCTCCTGTGCCACCACCCCTGTCTCGTGTCTACACAAGACATTCCAAGGAGACCAATGTCACCATCCTAGATTCCGGCCCTCCAGTGTCTACTTTGTCATCGGATCCTGTGTTGAGCATCTCTCATCCTGAGCCTACACCTCTCTCCAACTCCGAGACACCTCCTGTTCCTAATCCAAATCCTTCACTTGACTTGCCCATTGCTCTTCGCAAAGGTAAACGTACTTGCACCCATCCTATTTCCTCATTTGTTTCTTATAACCACCTTTCCCCTGCCTCTCGTGCCTTTTGTCTATTCTTTAGATCTTATTTCCGTACCTAAGACCCTTCATGAAGCTTTAACCCACCCGGGTTGGCGTGCTGCTATAGAAGAGGAGATGGCAGCCCTTGACTGGGCTGGCACTTGGACCTTAGTGGATCTACCGGCAGGAAAGAAGGCTATTGGCTGTAAGTGGGTCTTAACCCCTAAAACTCGAGCTAATGATATCCTTGACCGCCTTAAAGCTCGCTTGGTTGCTAAAGGCTATGCTCAGACCTATGGTGTTGATTACTCTGAAACTTTCTCCCCTATTGCGAAACTTTCCTCCATTCATCTTTTCATCTCTGTGGCGGCAACTTATGGCTGGGATCTCCATCAATTGGATATAAAGAATGCCTTTTTACATGGTGATCTTCTTGAAGAAGTCTATATGGAGCAACCACCAGGCTTCGTTGCTTGGGGGAGAGTGGAAAAGTATATCGCCTCAAGAGATCCTTATATGGCCTGAAGCAGAGTCCCCGTGCATGGTTTGACAGGTTCAGTACTGTTGTGTAGAAATTTGACATGTGTCAAAGTAAGTGTGATCACTCTGTGTTCTACCAGAGCACAGGCACTGGCATGATTCTATTGGTTGTGTATGTAGATGATATTGTGATTACAGGGAGCAATATGTCGGGGATCTCTTCACTTAAGTTCTTTCTTAATTCTCATTTTCAAACAAAAGATCTGGGCCCGTTAAAGTACTTTCTCAAAATTGAGGTCTTGAGAAGTAAGAAAGGAATCTTATTGACTCAAAGGAAGTATGTTCTTGATCTGTTGAAGGAAACTGGAAAGTTAGGGGCTGTGCCAAACAATTTTCCTATGATTTATAATCCACTCCTTGATACTGATGGAAGCAGACCATTTGAGAATCCCATTGATGCTGCTAAGAGCAAGCCGTTTGAGAACCCAGAGAGGCATCGAAGATTGATTGGAAAATTGAATTATCTTACTGTGACCCGTTCTGATATCACCTATCCAGTCAGTGTACTTAGCCAGTTTATGGTCTCGCCTACTATTAGACAGTGGGAAACTTTAGAGCATGTGCTTCATTACTTGAAAGGGTCTCCAGGTCATGGGATATTATACAGAAATAATGGTCATACAGATATTGAGTGCTTTTGTGATGCTGATCATGGTGGTTCAAAGGCCACAAGAAGATCTACTACAGGATATTGTGTCTTTGTGGGAGGAAATTTGGTGTCCTGGAGGAGCAAGAAGCAGAATGTGGTGACACGATCAAGTGCAGAGGCAGAATATAGAGCTATGGCATAATCTGTGTGTGAGATCGTCTGGATATATCAATTATTGAAGGAGGTTGGTCTTAAAACCTCATTACCAGCAAAACTGTGGTGTGACAATAAAGCAGCCTTACATATAGCTTCTAATTCAGTGTTTCATGAACGCACAAAACACATTGAGATTGATTGTCATTTTGTTCAAGATAAGATCAAGGAAAACTTCATCTCAACAAGACATGTGAGGTCCAGTGATCAGATTAGGTGATCTCCTTACTAAAGCTTTGAATGGGGTTCGGGTTGACTATCTTTATAACAAGTTGAGCATCATTGACATCTATGCTCCAACTTGAGGGGGAGTGTAAAGATATGTAAATATATTGTAATTAATATAGGATCAAATCAGATATGATAAGATAGGATATTATCCTCTAATAATGAGCCATTAATGACCGAGACTCCTCTCTTGTGTATAAATTCCCCCTTTCTGATCACAAATATACAAGAAATATATTCTATATTATTTTCTCTTTAATAGATCCTATACAATCAATGCTGATAAGTATTTACAAATCATATCCTATTAGTTAATCCTATACTTTAATTAGATATTGTCTTGCAGCTTCAAATAATTCTAGGCTCCAAAGCAGGCTCCCATCTGAAACAGTCTTCCAACTACTTCCCTAATCATTCAGCCCAACTTTCTCTTACTACCACTTTCTTTTTCTGGTTTTCCTCGTATAAACACGTGTAAAATTTTGTTGCATCATCAGTCACAGTCAATGTACCCTCTTTATCTCTTCTCACCCATATTCCTTGATTATACCCTTCTACTGAGAGTTTTCATGGCAGTAGGAGGTTGATGAAGTAGAGTAAACCCATCAGATATGCATGTGCTTCAGTTGTCAGTCTATAAGATAGTTCAGGGGACTGATTGATTATATGAGCATATCATTAATTTTGTTCGCTTCCAGATGTATAAACATTAACCCAAGGAAGAAAAAAAAAAAAAACAATACAGCATTGTCGCATTTCTATGCATTGAGTACCTCACTGTCAATATCCTTATAGCCACAAATGCACTACGGTGCAAATTAAATGAAAAACACTACCCCCATACATAAAAGAAATGCTAAGATATTAAGCAGCGGGGGAAAATAGGATATGTATAAGCAGTGGGCAAGCAAGAAATTAATAACCAGGCAGTTTAACATACCTTTCTGGAAAGTACGGTAAGAATTTCAAGCCTTTCCTGCTGAGATGGAAAGTCACAGAACAGAAGTCGATCTAACCTGCCTGGTCTTAAAAGTGCCGCATCAAGCAAATCCGGTCTACTGCTTTACATGAAAAATAAGTCAGCATTGCAAAGGCATGAGAAAAGAAAATTTTCAATCATATCGGCAGTAGTCTGAATGGGTAGATTGATTTACTTAGCAAGGCACCTAATGCGTCTGTTATTAGATATAAACTACATTAAGCACAAAATTATAGAAAAAACTCAAGAACTCACTATTCTAGCACAGCTACTCAAGCCAATAATTATTCAAAGTCCAACTTCAGCTGGTTACATAGAAATCCAGGAAAAATACAAGAATGTCATATTCGAACCGGGAATCCAAAACCTACACCAAACACTGTGCCTCAAATGATTGCATGCTTCCAATTCAAATGAAAAATAATGTTGTTCCCAAGGATCAATTGCTAAAATTTGAAGCAACTGTGAAAGCAAATATAATGCAGAATCTTAAGCAATTCCAAAATCATGTCCTCAAAAGACAAATAGCTCAATAATCTTTATCAAATGAGAGAGAAAGGAAGCAAGAGTAGAGAGAATTCAAGTGATTATTATTGGTTGCATTAGAGTCATCTTAGTATTTAAGTAGAGATTAGTAATAGCCAGTATAATCCTTTCTAACTCAAAACTCAATAGCGTTGTCCTTCATCTCAAGTTATGATAGCACCAGTTTTGAGCCTTTGTTCCTTCCCAAGATCAAACCCTCTCATAGTAGTGTAACCCAATTTTGCTAGATAAGCTAGTTACTCTCATCGAGCTTTATAGAGACTGCATGACAGAACATTTGAGATGAAAGTTTGGTGGCTTGATTGAGGTTCTCCATTCAACCAATCCCTAATAGGCTAATAACGGGATGAAATTGAGACTCAGAGGGAAGGGGAGAGAAATAGAATGTATGGGAGAGTGAACTTATATTGATAGATGTTGGGTACGAATATATAGGCATATCTTGTGGCACCAAGAAACATATTCTAAGTTCAATTGCCTACTCTAAGATCTTCTTTGATCAAGAATCAAGTGGTAGCATACCTAAGAGATCAATAAACCCCTCAGGCCCATAAACACAAATGGCACTCCCTATTTGCTACTTCCATAACAAGAAGTTATTGTCATCAAGCTTTCATCGACATGGAGGGGATGAAAGTAATGACATCCTTCATCGATAAGAGGAGAGTCAAGAGTACTCTAAGAGTTGTCCACCTCCAAGCTTATAGCTCTGATCCATAACAGATGTGTATTATTCATAGAATTGAGTATATTAATCATAGCTAGCATTAGAGCACATATCAGTATTTAAAGTGTAGAAGTGAGTACAAGAGACACTAGAGAGCCTCATAAAAACTAACTCTTGACTACTATTAACTAACCATCTAACAATCTTTGATAGATTCCCATGAACAGCCCCTCAGCATCTTATTTCTAGCATCCAATATCTGAGTTGCAAGCCACGATACCCAAACAAACACAATATAGAGCTGAAATCTTAGATTAACTCTTTCCTTTTCTCAACCAAAGTTCCAAAACACACAAAAACCTCACATGGGTAATCATAGAACAAAATCATGTTTGGAGACTAATGAGAGGTCAAACCCAGTTCCAATGCACGTTTTGAGAAGGCTCTAGGTCAGCAATGGTGGGCCATTGTGGGGTGTTTTGCTAGGCTCAAGCCAATAGGTAGCGAGAGTAAAGCTAAATTGTACATGATCCACTTCAATTCAAGGCCTTGTGACGGCTCTTTAAATTGTCAAGATTTCTATTTACAACGGTCAACGTGCACTATTACATGTCGCCTCATGTAGAACCATTTCTTTACCTAGTGTCAGTAACCCATTTTCCTCTTTCTACCACATTGTTGAAGCACCACTTTAAGAAAAATTGCCCCCTTTCTCCACATTATTGTCCTCAACCAATTTGTGCTCCACTTCAACTTGGAACGCCTTCTTTTACTAAGAGGTACATAACTTTCAGTTCTTGCACTTGTCAGTTTATCCAGTTTTTCCGACTCCTTAAACAAGTACTTTATGCTACTCAGCTTCTCTGTGATGGTCATGTCATTTTGTTGTATTATCTCCCACGCAGCACAAACATAGGGAGGAAAAATTGTTGAAATGGGGTTTTATTTGCAGCGAGTTGAGTCTAGAATAACCCTCAGCTTGAATGCCATAATAGTGAAATCTATCAAAATATAATTCCAAAGAAAATTAGGATTTTACCATTATTCAGGAGTCAGAGCTTATTATTGTCTAGAAGTCTCACAGTTATCTTCAGGAGTTTAACTAGCAATTCATCCATATTTATAAATAAAAATAATAGAATTAATAAAGAGGGGACTGCCACAATGTTTGCACGTGTCTCTCATTCATCATATTTCTGTTTTACCAAAAATTTAAACAAAAATATGTACTGATGAAACTAACCTGGTAGCAGCAAAAAAAAATACCCCTGTTAAAATCTCAACACCATCTAACTCGGTCAGAAACTGTGAAAAGTGAAAATATAAATATCAGATTATAATCAATATAAGATAAAGTAAGAAGTGATGAACTAATCACTAACTTGATTCACAACACGATCAGTGACTCCAGTATTGTCATGTCCTCTCTTGGGGGCAATCGAATCGAATTCATCAAAAAAGAGTAGACATGGTGCTGCCGCAGCTGCTTTAGAAAATATATCCCTAACCTGAAAGCAACATTCAACATAGCACATGAACGAGACCAGCTTATAATGAGCCATTATGATAGCATCATTGTAATTTAGGTCTAGAAGCCCCTGTTGGAATTGGAAGTATATATTACTCATATGAATGAAAACCTTCTACACACAGAGGAATTGGCCATGTCACCAGATGGACACTCAAAAAAGAAAGAAAAAAAACTATAATTCAAGAATTTTGGCTCAGCGAAGGGTCAGTAAACTTCAGGAAAACTAGAATACATGTACATTAGGATGTCGGATGTCATGCTTTTATATTAAGCGAAGTTTATAGATTTAATAAACAAGTAAATGAGTTCAGAATAGCAGACAAAATTAACACTAAAAGAAATCCATACAGCCCCTTACAGCTTGTTCAGAAGCACCAATGTATTTGTTCAACAGTTCTGGCCCTTTCACAGATATGAAACGTAGAGAACAAGCAGCAGCAGCTGCACCAACTATGTGAGTTTTGCCACAACCAGGAGGTCCATATAAAAGGACGTTTGATCTTAACCTCAAAGGAGCTTGCGCAAAAGTTCTTGGAAACTTAGAAGGCAACTCTATCATCTGGAAATAAAACTCACAACATGGGAATCAATAACATAGGAAAAAGCAAACACACAAGATAGGGTAAACAAGTATCACAAGCAATCAGAATTAAGTTTTTGTTCAGCTGCTATGACAGTATTGGAGTATATAACACTTTCGATAATATACATTTATTTTGATATTCCATTATTTTCACCACAATTTATGCTCTCCATATTTTCCCATCATTTCCCATGCAATAAAAACTCTCATGCTTGAAGTGTAAACGAGGGAAACAATGTCTTATAAGAATATAGTACTTAAATATAACAGAAAGAAAAGAGAAATAAACTCCAAAGCTGTAGAAATTTAATTGTAAAAGGTATGTCACCTCCTTAATGGTGTTTTGAATGTCATCAAGGCCTCCCACATCATCCCAGCCAGAGCGTCCACCATCAGAAGAAGCTTTTGTAATGTCTCGCATTGCAACTGGAAGAAAATCATGCATTGCCTGAGAGAAATCTTCCATAAGTAAGCAGGGCTCTCATGCTCATTAAGAGCAGCATTTGATGGGAGAAAGCGGGAAACAGCAGCATGGACAGCTCTATCAACCAATATTTCCTGAAAAGGGTAAAATTATTTAAAATTAGAATGCAACATACAACTCAGACATGGTCATAGCATTTTTGGCATTGAATAATATTCAACTTTCACAAACTAACAGTCAAACATCAAAGAAATTAAGTGGAGATTGTTAGGATGCAATTATAGGCATTTACAAAGCAATTTAATTAGGCAGAAACAAGAAGGGTCAAGACCATCCTGAAAAGTTGTCCAAATTCAAGCCAAAAAAAAAAAATTCAAATTGTAATCAATTAATTTCACATCCCCTGCCACTAGCAGACCATTAATTGCAAACGTACGGGGGGGAAATTTTCCATTTCACAAACCCTACATAAATTCCGATCCCTATACAAAATGAGCTCTATGAAGATCATGAAACCGGTATATAATCCAGAAAGGGAAAAAAGGGCTTCCTAACTAGAACACCAAATTTAACACATGCTTCAAGAATTCTGGAATGGATGCTTTTATATCACGGCATCAACCCTCTTTCAGAGAGTTCAGGAGTTCAACAGTCAGCAGCTTATCGTAGAACTGAGCAGGTCCATGCTTGGACCATATCTCAAGTCCAAAGAGCATCAGCATGAAGGGTCAATCTAGAGATATAACATAAAAAATATGTGGAAACATAGTTCAAATACTTTCTAAAAACTAGGACTCAATAGTTCAAATACTTTCTAAAAACCAGGACTCTATTTTTTTCTAGGAAATATTAACTAAAATATTTTGGATAGATGACAGAGCAAAGGACTACTAAATAAAAAAAAAAATAACTCTAAACATGCAAAACGAATCATCCCCATCTTTTACACCTAGGGGTGGGGACAGAGAGGCGAAACCTAAACAATGTGAAGAAAGAAATGTTTAGTTCCCAGCAACTCATTTTCATTTCTCCTCACAATAGTGGTTTTTCTATACAATACAGGCAACATAGGTGCACAACTACACATGTGGGTGCACATAACAAAAGGAATCACAAATTGATGTATAAGAAACAGATATCCACTAGCTCTACACCAGAAACACCTTATTGATGATTAATAGGACTAGAATTAGCAGAATACCAGATCATAACCATCATAGCCATCACATTTGACAGCTACGTCAAGCAGGATGTCATCAGCACATTCCAATTGACGCCTTTTTATTTCATGCCTCAACATAGCCTCCCGCTCTGAAGCTGCAGGAGCTGGCAGCTGTATGTGAAAGTCAAATCTCCCTGGCAATAATAGAATCAGGAATTATCACCCGAAACATGTAACAAAATGCAAATGACAAAAGAGAATCCTAGAGCCTTAGTTCTTATTGAGCTTCACTATACCATGTTATCAGCAAAAAGTAGCAAACCTGAAGAGCTTAAAGATTGTGGTATCTTCTCAAGAGCTTGTACAGAAGCTATGAAGGCTATTGGTCCAAACCCACATGATTTTCGCCTTCTCTCCTGTTTGATGAAATAGCATGAGAATAATTTTCATATGATTATGGAGGAAAAATCATTAATATGCATGAGCACCAAAGTGAATATCTTATGTACATCACCTATCAAGTCCTACCCTTCCAAGTTCATATTTTTCACCTCAATTAACATTACAATCTCAGCAGGAGACTTCCACATTCTTTTCGTTGGTAAGAAGACTTCCACGTTTATTTCAATTGAAAGTGTGAAAATTCTCTCTGAATGTTCAAATAATTAAAAATCTAAAAATAATTGATGGTAGAGATGTAGGGTTCTTATTATAAAACATTTTTTCGTCCCAAGACATTTCTTCTGAGAAAAAGTTTTGGAAGAAAGTAAAAGTGTGAGCAGACCATGCACACTCTTAACATATACTCTTGAAGGTAACAACAAAAGAAAGAAATGCTGAACAGCAGAAAATGTAAGGAAAGCAAAATTAAATCCACAAAAAGAAACCCCTGTGGGGAAAAGCCACCAAATGAGTATAACAATGCCAAGGCTCAAGATAATGTGTTCCACTCCACTTAAGTGGGTGCAGCATGGAATTATTTTAGGCAATTGCCCAAGAATGTTCGTCAAGAGGTATTAGAAATTCAGGAAAGCTTTGCAAGCTAAGGGAAAATAAGGTCAAAATTGAAATTTCATTATCCTTTCCTTCCCCTCAGTTGATACCCCACCAACTATTAAGGTCTTACTACGAGCTTTATTAGCAACTTCCTTTACAGCAGAACCAACAAACCGACATACTAACATAATCATCTAGCAAAGCTCAACACCAATAACTCGTAACAGGTTAAAAAAATATCTTCACAAGACTTTAAAGCCATGTCTTCTTAGCCCTTGCAAAATGCATTACAGTTATTTTATATTCAGCTCTACCCAATATTGATTGTTCTTTCTCCCATCTCTCTTTCCCTTGTCTTTCAGCTTGGATTTCTCTTTTTTATTCCAAAAGATACAAAATTATTAGAGATAATACACAGATCTAAATAAACCTCCTCTTTCTCTCAGTAAACTAATCTGACACTATTAAACTAGACTTCGAATGTAGTTAGAATATTCTGAAATGTAATTTCGCATTCTGGTTGCATCGACAAGGCAGGCAAATGTCAAACATGTAAGCAAGAATTTTCCTTATCCAAAGACATTACAAAAATGAATAACCAGATTTTGTCTGTGACCTGGAAGTTCTGTAACTCCTAATATTATTATTTACTAATTGAACAACTTGACTATCTAAAACTTTTCCTTATCACGTTTCATCTTCCTGACATGAATAGTAAACTTCTGTGATCATTTACAGCCATGTAATTCTAGTTAGAAATAACCTTTCCCTTCTGTCTGTCATCACTCACTACAATCATGCAAAACTTATGACAGTGAATTCATCAAAATAATGGCAATGAAAATCATGTATCTATGAGACTACTACATTGTGTAACATATTTGGAACTCAATTAAAAAAAAAAAAAAAATTACCCCATATTCATCAATAATGTCAGTCAGAAAACTTGCGAGTCCAGCAGCAGACATTGAAAGTTGAGGCCCTTCCGACTCAGAGGTGGAAATCATGCTATCAAGATCATCAAAGATGACAATAGAAGGTGCATGATCTAAAGCTTCCATAACGTTGTTAGTAACTTCTTTCCGGATTGTTGGGACATTCTCCAAAGCTAATTTTGAACAAGAAACAAAAATTCTGCATAGCAATATATGCTGAATTCAACCTCAAATTCCAACAGTATTGATTGGTTACAGACAATGGAGGGAAAAAAGAAAACAATAACACATGATAATTTAGAATTAATACATGTGTGCTAAGATGTCTCCATGTTTCTCAAAGTACTTTGCAACAGTCCTTGCTAGTGAAGTTTTGCCAGAGCCCTGAAAAATAAGATTTTGAATTGTCAAACGTAATGATTATATTCACCCACATCAGATAAGTAACCTGAACAAAAATAACACCAACCATGATAGGAAGAGAAAGATTAGGATCAAATTTTAAGGATTACAGTGCAAAGTCACATTTGCAATAAGATCTTGCAGCCAAAATAAAACAATGTAATCGAAGTCACAGATAAGCGTAATATTATCAAAATTACTCAACCCAAAAAAAAACCCACTCCCACTTGAATGTCCATTGCTGTAGCTAAAACATTACTTCTTTTTAGACAAATGCATTTGGTTCTATATCTCATTCTCAGCATTCCCCAAATGAACTTGAAAATTGAGCAAACTAAGTGTGCAGAGGCCGTAAACAAGCAGTATTAATGAGGGTTTGGTTTAGTTTTATGATTCTCTTTCCATCATATTCAAGACAAGATACCATAGACCTAGCCACAAAGGTAAAAATAAGAAAACCCATAATGTCGCAAGATTGGTAAACCTAGAAAATTCAAAGCTTCCGCAGGGTCATGCTGCTAGGATTTAGACAAGATTTAGACTACCTGGCTCCAAAGCACTTGTAATCCAAAAAACTGTCAGTGCCTGAATGAGCTTTTATTGCATGACTTTCTATGCTGGAAACCATATGCAATAAGAGCTGATTCAGGATTTTTCATATCAGTTACATTGACACACTAAGTAAGAAATGCTTTTTCTGCTTAAACTAGCCATCCGGTTTTTGTCCCCATTATAATGACAATGAGGGATAGACTTTGCAAAATGAATAAGAGAATATCTGGTAAACTAAATATATGTTTCCAAACTACAGAGGAGTATGGCATCATTTTATAAAAGCAAAAGACACATAGAGGTTCAATATGTTGCCAAGAATAAACAAGCATTTGCAGACTCTTGACATTGCAATGATGAGGACTTGTTGCCTGCTAATACCTTGGACTTAGTTAAATACTAGAAAAACAAAATTCAACTTACTGAAGGTCCATATATAAGAATATGTCCTGGGAGCGGCAAGTCATATGAATCAAACCACATACCAGAAGCAGAAGATAACAATACTGTCACCCCTGCAATCAGTAAGAAACAGCAAGTTATATCATTAGTAGGTAATATCATGAATATAAGAGACCCATTCAAAGCTCAAAGAGGATTTATCTTGCAACACTTGGGATTTTTTTCCTTTCAAAATAAGTAAAACTTCGTGGAAAAGAAATAGCAAGAAGGTCATAAACACTAATATGAATAAACTACCGCTTAGAAGTAGAAACAGTTACAGAGAATAATTCATAAAATCTAAAGCTTCAAGAAAGGAACAAGGAAAATCGAATGGTCTGTAAAGAACTAAGAATGATAGAACCACCACAAGCAAAGAGCATTCAAGAATGCACAGCAAAACTGATGGGAAAAATGAATCAATTGAAGAGCAGATAGAAACTCCTTTCAGAAAATACCTACTATTGATAACATCAGAAGCAGTTGCCCCCATCAAGTCAAGGCTTGTTACTTCTGAAGTAATATGTTCTTCAGATATTTTATCTTCTAGAGATTGGATAGACACGGGATCAGTGAACTTTAGCCTTTTAAACAGCTGTTGATCTGCTGGATTTCTGTTCATTTTGTTTCTTTCACCAAGTGCAATTTCATATGCAGTGATTTTTCCGTGATGCAAGGAATCTTCACCAATAGTTAGCAAAAACAATAGTTCAGCTGTCTTGTTTCTGTTTTCTGATGAATTAGAAGCCAACTGAACCTTTCCATTAATCCCAAGCTTTATGTAACTGACTTCAAAATGAAGTAAGGTTTTACTACCCAATACTGGTGCATTAACCTCCATACCAGTAAAGGAAGCAACCGCATCAAGTTGTGCAATATACCATAGTCTTAGAAGATGCTGTAGTCCATTTAGATTCTCCGACTGATTTGCAACATCTTCATCTGCTTGAGAATGGGATTCATCTGAAAGAACGTTAATAACTTCATTATGGATAGACCAATCCACAAGATCTCCAAAGACACCTGATGCAGTCCTTGTGAGCTTGTTCTTATCTATATGATTATCACCATCATTGTCTTGCCTTAACATTCGGAAGTGGCAAGGAGAAAGAGAGAAGGAGGGAATAGCTTTTTCCAAATTAACATCACATGCCTTCAAATAGACCCCTGCAAAAATAGAAACATTGTGTTTAAAGGACAAACAAATTTTTCAATCCAAACAAACGTTGAAAAACAAAAGAAAAAAAACAGCATAGCAGGCCGTTCAAACATTTTAAAATGAAGGAAAAATAGAAGCTATAGCACAATAGTAACCTTCTAAATTAACTTTATAAAGAGCCTACAACACAAAATAACACACAGGTTGAGAAGGAAGAACAAATGAAAAGGAAGAGGAACAATCCTAAGCAAAAGAAATCTACATATTATTATCTGATAAATCTATAGAAAGTCACTGTTAACAAACTATGAACAGTGTAACTTATAGCACCTCAGAATAAATAGCATAAGGAACGAAAGCAATCCTACCTCATTTAAGTAACAAAGCTCATAATCTGGTGTATAAAACTAGTATTGCATTCAAACCAAATACATCATACCCTTAAAGGGAGAACATGGCCCAGAACAAAAGTTTTTTTTTTTTTTTTTAAGCTATGACTCAACAAAACCTCACAATTCAAATCTGTCAAAACCATGAAAATTCATGACCAAAAATTTAAGCATCACAAAAAGTGCACCACACGTCAATATAGTAAAATGCAATTTCTGTTATTGTGATGAATGATGCAGCATCAAAATGTAAAAAAACACTACATTTTAGGCTCCAAACTATCAAGAGATTAAATGGCAAACACAATGAATTCAATAACAAATATTCAGTTTCAACATCAGAGAGAATAATTCATTAATGTGAAAGATACTTGGCTTTCATGGGCTTGCGGGTACGGCAGGTGAGTGTAAGACAGTTTGACATACATGAATGCAGACCAGCTCTTAAATACTGTCGAAGAGATTTAGAAACCATCACATGTCCCTTGGCCACTGACTCTGAAAGCAGAAGATAAACAATTGCTTGCCTACATCCTTTATCATCAGTTAAATTTCCAGAGTCAACTTCCCTAGTAGCTGAACTGCCTTTTGTTTTCATAATGTTCGTTTTGGAAGCACCATTGGCCTTCTTGTTAGCTATTCTTGGAACTATGTAGACCAACTGAAGCCTATTATTGAGTGACAACCGTTTGCTTGTTTCTGGGTGAACAAAAGCAGCAGAAGTAAGCTCCATATGAAGATCAACTCCTTTGACACAAGCACTAGTGTGACACGACTGGTCTGGATCCTGTATGCGAAGCAGCATCTTTGAAGTGTGTTGTCTATTATAGGAATCTGGATGCAAGTCCGCAAGTGAATCTGAAAACCTTTTACGTCTTTTTGGGGCAACTGCTACTTCAGTTCCTGGCATGAGTTGCACTGGAAAAATCGTATGATGTAATAAGAAACATCAATTAATAATTGATAAAACATCAAACGTAATTATTTGCGCCAGCATGCAAAAATTCATCCAAGAATAGAATAACAACTAAGATTGACACTTTCCTAACACACAGCATCCTTCTGCATGCTACAAATTTTTTAGTTTAAAAAAACACAATTTCATAATAATATTGAAACAGCATGTTCAAGAATCCTCTGGGCTGAAAAAATAATGATGTTCACATGTTTATTCTACCAGTCTAATAATGCACATGCATCAAAGTGTATTTTACCCTTGAATTTATAAAATTGCTTAAATTTTTATGACTGAGTCATATAAAATTTGTACATTAGAACTAGGACATTCATCAATTAAAACAGCATAAAATCAGCAACAAATCAACATTCTTTCTTTTACATACGCGCACATGCATGAATAAAGGAACAAAATAAATTAAACATGCTAAGGGAATCAGCAAATGAATATCAAGATATTAATTAATAAAATAAACTACCTCGGTAATGAGCCATTTAAGAGATTTATCTTTTGACAAATCAATTAACTTCTCCAAAGTTTTTGGAATCATTTAACTAAAAAGCTTGATTTTGTTTCAACCAAATATAATATTTGTTCTTTAATAGATTGTATATCAGCATTCACTTTCACTAGAAGGATGAAAATCGGAACAAAATCAAACTTTTGAATATTAAAGTGACCAAAGAAATCATTAGAGTCAATTTATACAAGTGGCATTTTGATTGAGTAAATGGAGTTTTACTCCACTGTTCCCTGGATTCTAGTGCAACCTGCTTAACGCTATGTACTATTAATAATTGTTCACATTTGCCATCACAGTTCAATATATTACAAATTGAAAAAGAACGTAACCAAAAGTATCGTTAGTTAGCTTTGAGCTATGTCCATGTGTCTAGCAATATAACAAAAAAGGGTCGAGAAAGTATTTGACATCATCTTACCCACCGCTTTCTTGGGAATAACAGAAGCAACAAAGAACGTAATCATTGTGTGACCATGCAACCACAAAGGAAATCTCATTCCTTCATGGACAATCCTTACCTGCATGGACAAAGTAATGAGGAGCTTTTAATAAGTGCCCATGAGGCACACACATGAGGTCCAATACAGGTACAACACAGTAAAGATGAGATGAGGGGACAAAACAAATTCTACAATGTCTGATAAGGTCAACTCGTCCACCCAGCAAAGTATAGGGTAAAAATGACAACCCCACACGTGTCGCTGGTTTAAATGGCACACCTGGTTTAAAATTGCTGCCTCAGCTTGCTCAGAGTTCAGCTCCAAAATTTCCCAGTCGTCTTCTGTATGGGGTTCTATTGTAATCAGAGAAGCGTGTGGCACGTTAGAAGCAGCTTTTACTTGCACTCTAGCATGATCTGGCAAGGAAATGCATTCTGCAAAATGTTGCGCAACCTAAATTTTCTATATTAGTGCTTAAAGAAATTGGGTGAAAAGATCACGCTGACAGCAATTGACCAGAACAAAAAGGGTCAAATTTTAGTGTTCAACAGAACAGCGGAAGCATTTTCCACCCTGCAGAATACATACCCATTCAACCTTTCACGTATAGCAATGGCTATGCAACATAGATAAAAGGCTCAAATTATAGTGTTCAACAGAATCTCAGGCTTTGGAAAGAAGAGGGGCGATATATACAGCACAGCATTAAAGAAAAAAAGAAATCATGTAATGCAACCCTGAAGAAGACAACAGAGAGGAAAAGAAACAGTGTGGTATTCTCTAATGACGTTGGAAATTTTTAAATTTTGCACGGACCCTAGCCTCTCAAACTAAAATCTATGTTATACAATTCCTTAGAAACAGCGTGGTATTCTCTATTGACGCAGGAATTAAAGCCTAAAAAATACCATTCTTCTTTCAGCATCCCTTCCTTTTATTTTATTTTCCTTTTTTGTTGGGGCTCAAAAACTGTCATGCAATTCGAAATACCTAAGACTTCAGTTGTCATCACCAGTGAATTGTCCACCATGTCAGCTTGTAGGCAAGGCCGCCGTTTCGCTAGAAATTGTCATCCCAGAAAAGCCCAATTTCATGACTAAAACGATGACACGACTGACAAGGAGATTAAACGAAAAGAACAGTGAAGGTACCTACCTCTATGGCATTAGAGTTAGAAGTGGCTCCGGACCAAGCAACGAACCAGAGATCATCAGAGCGAGAGCGAAGCTCGAGGGTGAGAATATGAGGGAGGGGCGTCGACCGTGTGGAATGCAGAAGTTGGATAAGAGGAAGAGGAAGAGATACGAAGCAGTTGTCTATGTTCCCTACCAACTTCACTTCCAACTCCATGGAAACACACACAAAGAAACTCGACAGAGTGTCGCGGGAGAGAACGAACTACGAGGCGCTTCTCTAAAGGATCACAAGGGTGAACCAACCCAGCCAAACTTGACCATTATCGCCGTGCCGCCTTGGTCTTTTCGGATCGCTATTCCTTTTTATTTTCGGACATCAACGGTACAAAAGTTAAAAAACACAAACAAAAAAAAAGGTGGGGTGCTCAACAATCAACTAAAAGAAAATAATTAAAAAAGAAATTAATCAATCAATAAATCATCAATCAATTATTCAGTTGCCCTAAATTAAATTTATGAGAAATAGTGATGATTTCGTTGCTGTATCCAACGGCTAGATTTCTTAATGTTGAGATTTCTTTTCCGTTTCTTTTAAATTTTAATTAAGGAAATAATGGGAATGGGCTAATCAATCAATTAAATTATCTAATCTGTCTAATCTCCATCTTCAATAATACTATGAAACCAAAAAACTAATAACTCTAGGTAAGCCAAAAAAAACCACAAATTGTTTGACGTAACTTTTGTTTGATCCAAATAATAATTATCTAACATTAAATTTTATTCTGTTTATTTTTATTACGGGAAACCAATTCGTATGAGAATTGCTCAAGAATCAATCAATTTTTTCCGAAGAATAGTTTAAGAGTAAAAAAAAAAATCAATCATCAATAAATATATAATCTCTTGATCTATGATGATTTATGACAAAAACTACTAATAATAGACCACGAGCTGTTTCTCGGCACAAAAAACTTGCGATGAGCCGTGTGTTACGCTGGTTAAGAAAAGAAAGAAATTCATGAGCTGTAATTATCTAACAGTATTTTTGGTTAGACCTAGGTAACAATATGGGAGTGCGATCAATCAATTTTTTTGGAGAATAGTTTAAGGGAAAAAATAATAATCAATCAATATATAATTTATGTTTATTTATGATAAGCGGTTAATAATAATTCATGGACTGGATCGTAGCTAAAAAAAAAAAAAAAAAAGGAAACTCATGAACTGTAATTAACTAGCATATTTTTTATTTGAAAAAAATTAAGCAATTATTTTGTATATTATATCAAGTTCTTTAAACCAACGTGGCCATAACTATTTTTTGTTTCATATGAGTGAATAATTAAATACTATTAAATGTTAATATTTTAAAAATAGAACACATTGTATGTATGGTTAAAGAACTTGACATATAATAAATATAAAGAATTTGATATAAGTATTATCCTATTTATTTTAGCTGAGTAATAATAATTATCTCACATTTAAAATTTTGCTCTGTTTTTTAACTGGCCAAACCAGTGGCAAAATTATGAGTGCGCGCTCACGAATCAATTAATTTTTGAGATAAAAAAGTTTAAGGGGAGAAATCAATCAACAAGCATATAATCTATGATAATTTATGACAAACAATTAGTAACAATTTATTAGCTGTATGTTGGCCCCAAAAAAAAAAAAAGAAATTTGTAACCTGTGTTGATCAAAAAAAACTCATGAGCTGTAATGTTGTAGTGTATTTTTAATTAATCCGGGTCATAATAATTACTACTTCTGGTCTTTAATATAAGAGTTAGTTTAACTTTTATTTTGATCCCAAATATAAAACACCAATTCACTTTGTCCCTCGTATTTATCCATTTTTTTCCCAAGGTAGTATTTACAATAATAGTAGTTCTAACCAATATATTTGAATAGTAAGAATATTTTTAATAAAAATAATACCTATTTATTATAAATAATTAACTTAACTAATTTTTTTTAATATATTCTAATTACTCGGCTAATTCTTATATTAAGGATCGAAGCTAATATCTAGTATTTTAATTTTTGTTCTTTTGTTGAGGAAGTCAATGGTAAAAACAAGTGATCATAAATTACAGGGAAAATGACAAATAAAAAAATTGAAAAATGTAATATTCCAAATCAGATACCTAACGCTTCAAAATCCCAATTAAAAAAATGGTGTCTGCTCTTATATTTTGCAAATAATGGTTAAACAACTAAAATGCTCTTATAAAAAAATTTATTAACAAGTTATAAACTAACATAATGCTTTATCACACAACTAGTAATAGTTTCATGAGCTGTATGTTGGCAAAAAAAAAGCAAAGAAATTTGTAAACTGTTTGTTCGTCAAAAACCTCATGAGCTGTACTTATCTAGCGTATTTTTTTATTAACCCGAGTCATAATATTTATTTAATAGCTTTTTTTTTAAGTCTGATATAAAGATATTTTAGTTATTTAACTATATTTGTAAAATATTAAATTAAGCAGTACTTCCTTCTTTTTAAGTACCTGAACTGAAAAATGATAACTTCAGAGTATTTTTCCTGAAATTTTTCTAAATTAAACAATTTTTTACTTTTTTTTTTGGTGGAAAAGGTATAAGAAGATATCAATCAATAATCAATAAATATCTAATATATGATGAATTTTAACACAAAACGGCTACTAATAGCACATGAGAAGTATGGTGGCTAAAAAAATTATATGAAAAATC